GTTGACATTATTGCTTGGATTTGGTTGACATTATTGCTTGGATTTGGTTGACATTATGGTTTGCACTTGGTTGACATTATGGTTTGGTCTTCTTGACATTATGGTTTTGGAGACTTTTTTTTTGGGTCGTAATCAAAGATATTCATAGATACCCCCATAAACCTGAGGAACAGATAACATGGAGACACCAAAAAAGAAGCAAACAGATTCGAGAAAATTTCTAGATAAAACAAACACCACATCTCCACTCCTAGAAAACTTCGAGAAAATTACTTCAAGGTTTAGTGTAAAGAAAACTTCTAGACTCGTTTCAGTTTTTTAACATTTGGATTGATTCCCAACTATACCTCCACTCCTCAACCTGCAACAGCCACCCATCCTCAACCATTGCCGCCAACACCAATCTTGTCAACACACCCGCCCCAGATTGAATCACATGCTGGGTAAAACCGAAACCCAGAAAGTTCGTTCTTGTTTTTTCATTTTTCAATTTTTTGAAAAAAAAAATGAGTGGAAAAATCATAATATAGGGAGAGTGGGTGTGTGTGGCCGGGGAAGTTCATGCCTGAAATAGTAAATGAACATTTCTTGAGAGAGAGAGGTGGGCGAGTCGGGGGAGGGGCTGGGTGGTTAGGGAGGTGGGTGGGGGTTACAAGGACAGAGAAGGAAGTGGAGGAGGTTATAAGGACAGATAAGGAGGTGGATGGATTTGCCGCGGTTGGGGTTGCGGACTTGCCTGAGGAGGTGGGTGGGGGTTAAAAGGACGGAGAAGGAAGTGGAGGGGGTTACAAGGACGGATAAGGAGGTGGGTGGATTTGCTGCGGTTTGGGGAGAAGTAATGGGTAGGGTCGTCTTTTTCTCAATTTTATGTTTGAAATTTAATCTTTAATTATTTAGGGTCAATTCCAGACATTTTAAGAGCTAGATCAACGCTATTGATTTAGGGGCTTCACAACAATTGATTGGAAAAGCTAAGGATGCCTTAGTGGCAACTCCTCCAATTCACGAATCTGAGCCATGTGTTTCCCAACTCCACCATCATCAACATAGCCAACCTCATTTAATAGGTTTTCCTAATCTTCCCTTTTCATAGGCTCCCCATTACAGAGATTTTGGTGTCGGAAGCTACGGCGCAGTGCTCAGGGAGATCAGTTTCATCAATATCCACAACAAATCCAACAACCACCATCCAATTGAACCCGCCAAAGAACGGTGAATCCGAGAGGGTACCAAAGAACGGGGGAGAGAGGAACCAAAGAGCTTTTGGGGCTGCGAGAGGGGATGGGGTGGCGTGGCTGCGCTGGGTGCTTTGGGGAAGGGCTGGTTGGAAAAGGAAGAGGGGGAAGATGGAGGTGAGGGGAGCTGACGGGGAATGGAAGAAAGGGAAGGGGGTTTGTTAACCCAAATTTTTTTTTATAAAAAATATTTATTTATTATTATTTAATTTGAATTTTAAAGTTCTTTAATAGCTAAAATTACTAAAATGCCCAACGCCCATTTCTGGGGGATAAAATAGTAAATAAGCCAATTAATCCATTATACTATCTTGGGCCTAATCTAGTATTGTATTTAATATTAAAGTGGGCTGAAAAAATAAAAGGTCTTAACAAAAAGTTAAAAAGACAAAGAAAAAGTGGGTCTTTCTTCTTCTCTCAGGTAATGTTTTTTTTGGGAGGACAAAACATAAGTGATGTTGGTGTAGCCACTAGGGTTGGGCATTGGGATCGAAAAATCAGAATACCGAGTTGAACCGGATGGAAAAAATCGGAACAAAAACCAGTTGACCAAAAGAGTCAATAAACCAGCACTAAACCAGATCTAATCGGTTTAAACTGTTTTCGGTTCTAGTTTCACACCTAACCAAACCGGATTGGATAGATTGTGCTTATTTATTTATTGAAGTGAAAACCATACTGAACCAGACTATAACCAGTTTGAACCAAACTGATTAAATAGTACTGATTTCGATTATGTTTTGAGATGAAAACCAAATCACACTCACCCCTAGTAGCCACAATGACTATAAAGTTACCAATGGTTGGTCAACTCACTTTGAATATCCACAAGTGGGCCATGTCCATAGAAGAAAAAAAAAATTACGTTACAATACAAGCTACAGACAGAGAGCTTTTTATTTTATTTTATTTTATTTTATTTATATTTTTTAAAAGTACAAAGTTTTATGAAATAATGTGATAGGTTCTATGAAATAATAATTTTTTTAATTTTATTTTACATTTGTTATGGATTAGTTAATTTTTTCAAAATAATGTTTCCTAAAAGAATTGTAAAAAAAACTTAGCAAAAATAAGGCCCATGGGAGGCCGGCCGCCTAGGTCCATGCGAGCTCGGCCCATCAATCCCATTGAGGCCTGACCCAATGGGTGGGCTCAAGCTTTAACAATCGAACTCTCAGCCCTACCCATAAAATAAAATAAAACACATAAGGCCCAGCCTGAGCCCGACCTGAACTCGAAAATTTAGAATCGAGCAGGCCCAACTTGGCCCGATGTCAACCTAACGACAAAGCCACAACGCAATAACTTTCCAATGATGGGGTACTTCATTGTTAAAATTGAGAGGATATGGGCAAACATGCCTTATGAGTGAAATCACATGGTACACAAACTGGAATTGACCCAATTATTTAAAAGTAAATAATTTTTTATCCATGCTGGAGGTGGGCTTTATTTTGCCATATCATCCACTCTAATTGGAGTAAATGGCTAATTTGTACAAATTTACCAATATAACCATGCCACTTCATCGCTTTTAATAGAGTTTGGGATGAAGTTGACGGTAAGGGAGAAGTGATATACCAAACATTAGTCAATGGGGCAAAGTGAGTCACGTTAACTTCCAAATGACAATGTGAGATTTGAGCGAAGTTTCAGAAGTAGTTGAACCATTTTTATTTATTTTTGGTCGAAAGAGTACTGTAACAATTAAGCCTTTACATTTACAAGAAAAACCAAACAAGATGTAATTGTCAACATAATCTTTTTGCATGCATTGATCCAACATTTCAATGATCTTGTTGATGCTCTTTTTGGGGAGGGTCAACTTAGGTAGGGAGTATTGGATCTTCAGTAGGGGAGAAGGTTAAGGTCTTTGATAACTGGGAAACCTGCGGAAGACAAGAAGGAAGAAGCAATCGTCAAGTTTTGGACACCGGTGTGGTGCCTGCCGAAGGCTCTCCGATGCTTAAGTAAGCCATTTGTGGTAATTTTGGCAGAGTAACAGTAAATGTGAGAAAATAATTACCCTTTTTACTTGGGCGCTGTTCCTTATTTATAGAGAAATGAGAATGGAAGTTTTGCACAAAGTTTGGATGTAGGACTTTGTGCAAATCATCATGGAAATGACACGTGTCCATAGCTCTAGGTTCTGTAGTCGAGGGCTTCAATAGGTGTTTACTGCTTCAGAAGGGGGCCTTCCTTCGGTAGGCTAAGAAGGAGGTGATGTCACTCATTTTCTAAGGGCTTGCTACCTTCTGTTGCAAGGCATCCTCTATCGGCGCAGCTACTCCCTGCCGTTGCTGAGGTGTGTTACACCACAACAAGGAGACTACATCTTGCGTGAGATACACGAAGGCGCGTGTGGTGACCACTCGGGATCCCGATCCTTGGCCTTTAAGGCCGTTCGGCAAGGCTATTAATGGCTAACTCTCAATGCTGACGCCACTCAGATTGTGCAAAGATGAGATCTGTGCCAACGTTTCGGATCTGTATCGAAAGTCCCTGCCAAACCACTCAATCCGATGACTAGCCCGTGGCCATTCGCCCAATAGGGACTCGATCTCATCGGCCCCTTGCTGTAGGGCACGGGTCAGCTTAAGTTCGCAGTCGTGGCTGTCGATTACTTCACCAAATGGACTGAGCCCGAAGCCCTCTCAACAATAACGGCAGCCAAGATCGAACACTTTGTATGGAGAAACATCCTATGCCGATTCGGCCTACCAAACGCCATCGTAACGGACAACGGCAAGCAATTCGATTGCTCACGTTTTTGGCATCTTTGCTCCCGATTCAACATCAGCATCTTGTTTGCATCTCCGGCACATCCACAATCCAATAGGCAGGTAGAAGCCATCAACAAGATCATCAAGAAAACATTGAAGAAGAAGCTGGGAGCCGCCAAGGGCAATTGGCCTGCCATACTACCAGAAGCACTATGGGCCATCAATACCTCCTACCGAAGGTCAACTGGGGAGACACCGTTCTCCTTAGCCTTCGGTACCGAAGCTGTCGTACAGGTGGAAGTACATGCGCCCACATGCCGAACGGCATCCTACGACCCTCAGCAGAATGAACATCAGCTCGCCCATAATCTGGATCTCATTGACGAACACCGATGGCAAGCACAGCTTCGGAACGCCACTTACAAACAACGAACGGCTCGGTATTACGACTTGCGCGTAAAACACCGATCGTTCAAAGTGGGGGACTGGGTTCTGCGTAAAGTGTCTCTCGCAACGAGAAATCCTACCGAAGGCACTCTAGGCCCCTTCTGGGAAGGACCCTATGAAATTGTCAGCATCTGCCGACCCGGCACCTTCCGGTTGCGTGGCTCCGATGGTCGAACCCTCGGCCACCCTTGGAATGTTGAACATTTAAAATTTTATTATAAGTGACCGGACCTTCGGCCACTACACTTTTGTACAACTTTTCTTTCAATAGCAGTGTCGTTTTCCTATTTCTACACAAATCAACATACATGCTTATATTCGGAAACAAGGACAAACACCGAAGCTGATTCAAATTAGACTCGGATATGATTAAAGCCTCAAGTTGGGCAATTGTTTTTACAAAATTGGCCGAACAGCCTCAATATCCAAACACTAATTTTATATATTACAACAAAAAAAAAGACAGGTAGGGCAGCAGTCAAGGAGTTGGAGGATCGGCCTCGGTAGCAGAAGCAGGCGGTGCCGGCCCCTCATCCTCTCGGGCACTCAACGGCTCGGCAGGGGGAGTCGATTCTTCCTCCTCACCGTCTGATTCTGAGCCGCTCGAGGAATCGACTTTGGCATCCTCCCCGAGGTACGCCTCGACCATCTCCTCGGTTACCCTCTCGGGCAACGGCGGTGGATCCCGGACGAAGTTCAGGTTCAGTTTTTTATCGGCATTGAAGTACTTGAACCGGTAGATGAGATCCTCCCATTGCTCCATCACCTCCTTGTCCAGCAATGCCACGAGCTCCGGCGAGTTTCGCTACTCAGCTAT